GGGTTTGAACCGCCAGCCTTCTGGTTAGCAGTCAAGTGCCTTAGGTATTACGCTACCAGAGCTCACCTGTATCTATATAGTTCTCTTTAAATCCTAGTTATCAAGCCATTAGGGAGATTTTCTCTTAATAAAAAAAAATCTACATGGGGAATTTGTCTTAATTTTGTAAGCAGGCTGCCATAAAGTCCAAGTATATTCTAATGATTAAAATGTATCCCATCTCACCTACCCTCAGAGCTGCTTGGACTACGTATGCTTAGACAGGCAACTCTAGTCTCCTTGCTCGTGATGGACTTCCATTCTGGTGACTCCAACAGAAATCATTCTGACATAAGTTGAGTACAGCAGCATTCTGTCTTTAAATGCCTTGAAACCAGGCTTCAGCTCCACCTCCTTGTGAATTAGGTCCATCCTGGCATCCTTTTCCAAAACACTGAAAATCTTTTTGTTAATATGTACTACATACACTGTTGCGATGTGTAATTTGCTGATGTTAAAAAGGAAAAAAAAATTATATATATATATGGATGGTCATTGGTGTGGTTCGTTATATCTCAAATACGTGTCAAGTTGAGGGCAGTAGCCTTTCTACAAGATCTGTGGGTGGTCCCATACCGTGAAGTCTTACTTTAGTGTGTTCAAAATACATAAAATACAACTTGCTCCCTCTGAGATACTAAGAACTTAATTTCTAAAGTAGAAAATTAGAATCTTCTAGATGGACTAAAATAATGCCGTTCCATCCATGGGCAATTTTGTTCTAAGACATTTCATTTATCTTCATCTGAGTACTGATTTGGACACTCCTGGATGCATATTCTAACTCAGATTCTTAACTCGTTGTAGGCCAAGTTACTTTCCCTCTCAGACCCTCAGTTTACTCATCAGTAAAAAGATTACTAAAACCTATTTCCTATGTTATGAGGATTAAGTGACATGACATCCTGGGACAATGTTTGATATACAGAGAAACTAAACCTGTGCTGATTTAAGTGCATAGTTGTTTCTCTATATCAAACATTGTCCTAGGCTATTATGTCATTTAATAATCCTTACAATAACCCAGGAGATAAGTTTGATTTCTGGACTGCTGCTTCTGTGGGCATTGATAGTGAATCCAAGTGCAATGAAATCCTTGAGAACAATCTTTTCTCCATTTATCGGGATGTTGCTCACTGGTCCAGTTGTAATGTTTTTTTGTTTTATGTTGAGGTGCACTCCAAACTGAAGGCTGAAGTCTCTGATCTTCATCAGTAAGTGGTTCAAGTCATCTTCACTTTCAGCAAGCAAGGTTGTGTCATCTGCATACTGCAGGCTGTTAACAAGTCTTCCTCCAATCCTGAGGCCATGTTCTTCTTCACAGAGTCCAGCCTCTCAGATGATTTGCTCATCATACAGATTGAATAAGTACAGTGAAAAATACAACCCTGACACACACCCTTCCTGATTTTAAACCATGCAGTATCCCCTTGTTCTGTTCAAGTAACAGCTTCTTAGTCTATGTACAGGTTCCCCATGAGCATAAGTAAGTGTTCTGGAATTCCCATTCTTTGCAATGTTACCCATAATTTGTTTTGATCCACACAGTTCAATGCCTTTGCATAGTCCATAAAACACAGGTGAACATCTTTCAAGTATTCCTGGCTTTCAGCTAAGATCCATGTGACATCAGCAATGATATCCCACGTTCCATGTCCCCTTCTGAATCCAGCTTGAATTTCTGGCAGTTCCCTGTCAATATATTGCTGCAACCTTTTTTGAATTGTCTTCACCAAGATTTTACTTGTGTGTGATATTAATGATATTGTTAAATAATTTCCACATTCTTTGGATCACCTTTCTTTGGGATGGGCACAGATACCAATCTTTTCCAGTCAGTAGGCCAAGTAGCTCTCTTCCAATTTTCTTGGCATAAACAAGTAAGCACTTTCAGTACTGCATCTTTTTGTTGAAACATTTCAGTGGGTATCCCATCAATTCCTAGACTTTTGTGTTTTGCCAATTCCTTCACTGTGGCTTGGGCTTCTTCCTTCAATACCATTGGTTCTTGGTCAGATACTATCTTCTGAAATAGTTGTATATCATCCAGTTCTTTTTGGTAGAATGATTATTCCTTCCATCTTTTGATGTTTCCTGCATCATTCTATATTTTGCCCACCGACT